TCATGACAGCCATCAAATGCTATTAACACTTGAAGATTTGAAGTTGGACTTTTCCAATTTTTCTCTTCCCTTATCCACACCTTTCATTTTTCTTTTCGATGTGTGAGTCATATTCGCATTACTGTGACGGGTAAGAACCAAAAGCGAATATTCTTTGTTTTAGGCAGAAATGAATAATAAAGATATTATTTATAGTAGTTACAGTTAAACTCATTTTTCCGTTTTATTATTATTACTGATGTGTAAAACCTAAGCTATCGAATGTAGTGATTCATCATAAGAGTTAAGTAAACAAAAGATATAGGCATATGAATAAATAAACACGATATAGGAACGAAACAGATCGACTCCCAAGTACAGGCATAAAAGTCACAATTTCTATTTGTAGTACTCCCCTTAGTCGACTGTCAAGTTTGGTAAAAAATAAGTGTGAACATTTCGAAAAAAAAAGAAGTTCAATATAATCATATGTGATCAAGCTGATGGTATTTTAAAGATGAATCAAAGTAAAATTTTGCTCCTACATATATAATAAAAGTGAGACTGAAAGATCAGCAACAGATCTTTTCTTTAATAACGGAGTATCTGCTCAGATCAACTAATAAGATATCAAATTTACTTCTGACCCTGACAAACTAGAAGGAATTTGCAACTTGGAAAATAGAACTTAAATATAATCACTTAGAAATACGCTTGAAAGATTGAACAAGTATCCTTTCAATTACTCAGCCTCTCGAACTTTTCTGATAACAATCAGTTGGAAACGCTAGAATAAATGGCAAGTAAGCAAAGGAACAGATTGATTAAGTACGAGGTATAAGTAACAATAACCTATTTCGTTTCTTTTGTTTCCTTCTTAAGCTTAGATCTTTTTATTTGTTTGGCGGAGGTAGGGATGCTGCGAAGTACAAAAAGCAGGGAAAGGACTCTCCGATTTCAGAATAAATCGAAAAATTTTAAAAATACGCATAAATATCTGATTTCTCTAAAAATATGCAAGTTTTGACATAGAAAACGCTCTGAGACATAACTTCGTTTAAATTTAGGAGTAAAACGTTCTAATTCATCGAGAGACCGGAATTTCGAACAAAAGAATTTTCGGCTAGGACTTTGTCAGGGCCCAAAGTCATGTTGAAAAGAGAAGGATATTCGACCCGGGCCTAATTTCCCGCCGGACTTTTGACCGGGCTCAACTTTCCTCCGGACTTTTGGCCCGTAGGTCCAAGTTTCCGTCATTAACCGCTCATAAAGAGTTGTACTTCTATGGATAGTTGGTATACTGAGTAGTGCTCAGCAGTACGCATTTTTTTAGATTAAAACGTAGTGCTTAGCAGTTAGAAGTGATGTGGCCTAGTGAGAGTTATTACTTGTCTTAACAAAGTGGTGACAAAGAAAAGCTTGTCAGCGTTGCTTCTACGATGCAAAAATGTCCTACTGAACTGTTGGATTATAACATAGAATATATATAACATAGTGATAATATATCGTAATAATTTTTAAAACTTGTCTAAAAACATCGGATGCGCTGTCTGTTACTAGTCCATTCAGTGGCTGTAAACACCAAAATTATATTGAAATTTGGTCAGCCACAATTTCACCCCGAAAGTTTACAGCTACTGCTAAAAAGTAAGAAAAACATTCTACATGAATGTTGCCAGTTTTTTAAACTTTTCTGACCTGTTTTTTGTATGTAAATTATTTTTTTTATTGTAATCTTTTCTTTTCTTTCAGCGCATAAACGAACAAAACACTGCAGAAATGAAATAAGTTTAACAGCAAAACATAGAAGAGAATGGAAAAGAATAATGTACTCTCAATTTTATTTGGTTACTTTAGCTGCTACTGTTCCTCTTTGTCTAGCTGCATACGACACAGCTCTTGGTGTATAAACACTATGTCGCGTGTAGTATATCAGCACTATGCCGTCCTGCTGAGCACTAGACTTCATTACACTTTATTCCGACAACGACTAGGGGGAGCTTGAGCTCGGGTCAAAGGTCATGAAAGGCTTTGGGGCTCGAGTCCGGATCGAAAGTTATGTAACTCGATTCATCATCATAACCTGAGCCTCAAACTTTGACTTCGGGAGTAAACTCAGTGGACAAAGGCGTTTAATACGAAGAGTCACGCATTCACACCGCCAGATTTGGGATGAAAGAGAGCAAGAACAACACAAAGCTTCCAAAGTCATGCTATTATTGTAGCAGATTTTCTTGTAAACAAAAAAAAAGAAAATATGCTGGTGTTTACCCTCAAAACGAGAGTATTTATAATGAGTAATTAACAATTGTTTTTTTGAAATGAAAATCATTCTGCTTCGATGAGGGTATGACACGTTTTGCAATTTGGTTGATGACCGAGAAGTTGCTGGAGAATGATTAGAATATTGTTGGATGGAAGTGAGAAGTCTGCCTAAATTTGGTGGCTGTCTGTAAGATGCATGTATGGTAGTGTTGTATAACAATCTGGATGTAGAAAGACAGCTGGAGCTATAGCGCGCATAATAGGTAGTAAATTGGGATTATATTTCGTTGTGAATATATTTTATTTGCATTTATGGACTTGTCTTGTCGCACGCGAGAAATGGTGGTAGATTGCTTTGCTCTATGTATCGCATCTTGAATAAGTCGTGTAGAATACCTTTTTTCTTGCAGCTGTAATGCTAATTATAGATATGTATACACTCTCGCCACGTATATGATTGACGATACCAGGTTTTTCTCTCATTTTAAACGAGACGAAAAACAATGCCTGTTATATAAGGCACTTTATTTCTTAAAGTAGACTACTTTTATACTCGAACTTTTTGCAGTTATATCCTTTTTAAAGTAGAACTAAATCAGTAAAATAACCAATTTACAGAGTAAGTACACAGCACTTGCAGTGAGCGACAATAGGGATATATAACACCCTTTCTGTTTACTGTCGCTCGCACAGTTGCAGTTTTTCTTCATTTATTCTGGTCCTAGCGAACTGATCCTAGCGATAATATCTACGGACATAGATTCTCTGAAAGTCCAAGCGTGAATGTTTTCGTCACATATGGCGAACGTTACCTTACGATAAAACTCACACGCGAGCTATAACACATGTAACCACTCTCACTTTGCTTCTGAGATCAAATGCCGGTTACATGGCAAACCATAGTTGAGAAATACATGAGAAAAAACTATGAATATGGTTCTTATGACAAGTAGAAAGGATTTAGGCAAAGAGAGGGCGTGTTAATAAAACTGCTGTGTACAAGTTTGATCTCAACTTCAAACTGAGTCTGACATGAATGATTGACCTTGATTGCATTATGTTCCCGAAGAGAAAACCGGGTAAAACACGGTCAAATCAGTGTTTCAGCTACCTTAGGAACAGATTCGCCAGATGGTCCGGATTTTGTGGACAAAAATCCGCTTTCTGTAGTTTTTTCCGTAAAGTATCCGCTGTCCGCAATTTGAAAAACTCGAGACTTTTCGACTTCACATCTGTGCTCGGCTCACAACTCCGCGAGTATGATCGTTTGAATGAAGTGATTATAATGCGTATGTTGGTGTGTGATTCTGATTCTGTGCGCTACTTCATCAGAATTTTTTGCTATTTGTTGTGCTAAATTTTCCATTGCTACACGAACTAATGGCAGAGTATAACTTGAATCAGAGTACAAGTTTTGTGCCGTAACTGGTACTGAGTAGAGAATAACCATCACCATGACTTGTGCGAGCAACATTCTAACCAACAGAATACCACGCTGTTTTGTGGTGATGCTCATCTTTTTTACATTGCGAATGGTTAATAATGTAAACAAAATCATAGTCATTAACAAAATAAAACTCAGACGTTGGGTTTTGTAACAATCGATAATCCAGTTACCGCTGCCATCATTCAGTATTTGTCTTTTTTTTCTAACTGATCAACTGACTGAAATGCTTTGAGCATCATTCACATAATCGATAGACACATTTGACGGAGAAAAAAATTGTCTATGAAGAAGGCGAGTAAAAAATAGATGAAGTGTTTGCTAAAAACAAAGATATGAGAGACATTCAATATTTGGTTCGAATTAGTCATCTTAGCTTAGAACAGTGATTATAGTAGAATCTTGTTATCAAAGAGACTGATTGGTAACCCATAATAACGAGTTATGAAGAAATCTCTTCGTTCTTTTCTCTTTTCGCAAACACTAATTACTTATCATACATCTCTAATGTCACACAGAAATAAAAATAAAATGCAAGCTACAGCAAGCATGAGCAGTAATAGAGGAAAAACTGGACTTACCAAAACACGAAAAAACTGTGTTGCCGTTGTTGTAATCTGATTTTTATTGTTATTTATTTGTTTTTGTAAAAGTTTTGCATAGGCAGATGACGATTGCTATAAGAAATTCAGTATTTTTCTGTTAAAACATACATTAGGAAGTTAGTTTTAACTCATCCTGACGGGTGATCTCAAGACTGTAAAAGTTAATTGTGCAACAACAATTACTATTGAAATTTCTTTTTAACCCAATCATATAGCGTTGTTGCACTTTTCGTACAGAGAGGAAAACGCAGTGTGATACTGTGGTGGTGCAAGTTAAACTCCGAGCTCTTTTTTTCATTTTTGTGACTTCAACACCTTTATTATGTACAAACTCGAGTTCGGATCACCTTCCGTCAGCAAATAATAGCTACAGCTAAATGAAAAAAAGAACTCGGAGTTTAACTTGAAACCACCACAATGTCACGCTGCATTTTCCTCTCTGTTCGAAAAGTGCAACAACTCTTTGACGGGAAGCCATAGGGGTCGGACACTTTCAGGGTATAACGAGGACCCCTATCAACATCGACCAAAAAACATTTCAGCCCTCTACGACTTTCCTGGACGAAACGACAATTTCTTTCATTCTGCCCGATTTCCGCTGGGAAAACGCGTAAAATGCCTGTAACTCCCCAGGGGAAAAGCCTCCGCCGGAACCCTCTTAGGCTTTTTACTTCCATCCGATGCCCTATCGAGCCACGCAAGAACGAATGAAAAAGGAGCGCTTCACCTCGGGATGTTCCCTCGTTAACATATGATAAAAAGAAAGATTACGTTGTCAGCATTCGACTGTATGAGCAACAGACTTTAATAGACCAGAGCAACCAAATCTTTTGAAAGAAATGAAGCACAGGTAAATTTCGCAATTATTTTTACTTCTTTCTTCTGCACATCGTTTTACAATTTTTTCTCTCTTTCTCTCTGTTGAAATAAAGGGCATGAATAAGCAAATATGTTTTTCTTTGTACATTCTTACGCAACTGTGAGCAATCTAATTGTGAAATTTCTTTTTCTTTTTTCTTTTAATAGCATGTTCTGCGTTTGAACAACATTCGATGGCAGAAGCACTCTCTGATGAGCAACACTTATCACTTCCACCAACAACATCATCCCGTCGACGGCGTTTCTTCGATCTTGTTTACGAAACTGGTGATAAGTTGTGGCCAATTACCGAACATCAACACGTACCACTGCGTTCTCTTGAAGAAGCGATAGACTGCGTACAACGTCATAAGCAGTATAATATTGATCCTCGTATTCAAGATAAAGTTTCTATTGCTAAAAGACGTTGTTCTTCCAACCCGAAAGATGATAATCTTACCATAGATGAAAGTGCATCTATTCAGCTGTATACCACGGAATCAACGGAACAAGAAAAAAGTTTTTACTATATATTAAATTCTACACTTCGTCTGGCCGATCGTAGTAAATTAAAACCATTTTTCTTCTATCTAAAACTAATACTTACCGGTTTAGAAAAATTACCATCTTTTAAAGGCGTCGTCTATCGTGGTGTTAATGGTAATATTTCTAGTAACTTTGTTAAAGATAAAAAATTCATTTGGTGGGGTTTTAGTTCTTGTACACGATCATTAGACGTCTTGGATTCAGCAGACTTTCTTGGTAAAAGTGGTCAACGGACACTTTTTTATATTGAATGTGTAAGCGGGAAACTAATTCAAAATTATTCATATTTTTCACCGGAAGATAATGAAGTTTTACTAATGCCAGGTATTGAATTTCTCATTACACATAAAGTACGACCAGTTCGTGGGCTGAATATTATTCATCTTAAAGAAATTACAGACACTCCAAAACCACCGTCTATAGTAGCAGCTGCAACAGACACCGCTGATGACAGCACAACAAACAAAATAACAGAAGATTTTGATCTTAGAACGGAAAAAAAACAAAAAATATGTGGACATGACTGTAATTTGTGGTCAACAAAAAAATGTTGCAATTGTTCAGGTTTGTATTAATATGAGATTTTTCATTTCATTTCTTAAACATTATTCTGTTTCTTTTACACTGTAGATCAGAGACTACATCGATTGGGTTATGAGAAATATTTTGATGGAATAGGTAATTTAAACGTAGCATCAAGAAGCGAATATTATTGTCCAACATGTAAAATACGCTAGTTCACTTTCGTGTTTGATTTGTTTGTTCGTTTTATTTTAAGCTTTTTTGCTTTAACAGTAATATAGAAAAATTTAAATATGTGAAAGAGCCTAAACTAGAATAACAGGTTTTTTTGTGTCTACTGTAAGGCATCTGTGATTGGTCGATGCGTTATGGAACTATTGTATTTTTAGCTTAATAGAGAGAAGATCGACATGATCAAGAAAAACGCGTTTTTAACTTTTTTTAATACACTTTTAAAAGAAAGAAAACGTTAATGATCAACATTTCAAAAAACAGTTTAAGGGCCGCCCCCGCCCTCAGAAATTGTCTCCGACACCGTACATTCGATCTATACGAAACTTTCCATAAATGTCAGGTACAATGAGTTACGGGAATGAAAAACTTTTTGTCTGTAAGTCTTACGGTTTAGGAGTTTTCCAGAGACCAAGGTCCAAAAAGGATCCTGAAGTGAGTCCCAAGATTTTTCAATAGCTGGAGAGTTCGGCTTTGTTTTATTTTAAACTAGACACCTAACTACATGGTCTGACCGACGCCGATTTTTCGGTTAAGCCTTTATTGGTTTTCCAGGCAACCAACAACCTCCAAAACCCGAAAAATCTTTCCGGATTTTCCAAAAATCCTCAGTTGACAAAAAACTAAGACCTAATTCAAAAACTGACGCCGGTCAGTCCATGTAGTTTCTCTTTCTCTTTTAAACAAAAAAGAATGAACTCTCTACGACATACCACTATTAAAAATTTTGGGACGCACTTCAGGTGTAACTCTTATATAGAGAAAACGCTGTATGAAATACTCGATTTTAGGACTTCTAGGAAAATGCTTGTAACTTTTTGATGCAAGGTCATATAGCGTTATGCGAGGTCTTATTTTGATCAGGAACGCTTGCTCTGCAAATCTGTGCGTTCAGAAAAATTTTAATTGGATAAGTATCCAGGAAAAAGCTATTATTTGAAGACCTGGTTTTTCGAGACTCCTAGAAGACTTGCTCAATATCCCCGAAAAAACAATTTTGTAACCAAAAGCAATACTGATTCTGGAAGTAGACACTTCAGGCTATCTTTCCATGTGCGTATGTCAAAAACGATTTTTTGACCGAAAATCATCATTTCTGAGCGGGGTCGGGTGGGGGGGGCTTAATACAGTTTAGTTCTAGATTGTTTTCGAAATTAGGCGCTATAAACTGCCTTTTTACTCTGACGCCAAATGGAAATGGGAACGCTAAAAGTGCTCACCCGTCATTGTGTAAATCTGTGTTAGGTTGTTTGATTAACAGATGAAACACTAGTTTATAGAACATTCGTTTCGCCATTGTCTCAGTAAAAATTATATGGATTTGTCCTACTGATATACTGTACTTTTATTCAAATCAGAGCATTTTTTATTGGCCAAGTTATTTTTTTCCTTGGCTGGAGTCTAAGGTCATACGAATTAAATGTTTATATGCCTGTCGATCCGTACGCGGTCTGTGGCGTACAGATATACACCCACGGACAGGTTGTAGTTAGTGGCTCGCGTTATCGCCCAACTAAAAGTCAGAGATTTGGTGGAACGCAAGTGAATGATGATCTCAGACGATCGGCGCCAAACAGCGCGACACGCGAGCAATTTCCATTATCAACCGCTGAATGAACAGAGAGTATAACAACATAAACTATAGAAATAAGAAACAAAATATATGATAATGATGATGACATTGCTCTTTATAAATTTAGATCTAGAATAAAGTGAAAATCAAGAATAGTGATAAAGTTAGGCTCGTTTTGTAAACGTTTTCCTACCATTTACTGGCCGTTTCTTGTCGTTTTGAAAAGACGTTTACATCTTACGATTCTGGTTAGGCACATATTCCTTCGTCTTATTTTTTAAGCTACCCGGTTAACTGGGCACTCCAACCACCCTGTTTACCTGTAGATTAATCTACTTGATAACTTCCCCGTATCTAATGCATTTCATGTCTGGAACTAGCTGAACCGGTCGGTTAATTGCCCGGTTGGAGCTAGATCGATCGGTCGGTTAAGTAGGCGGTTAACCTAGCTGATAACCTCCCTGTGTTTAATCTATTTGATACCAGAAACTAGCTTAACCGGTCGGTTAAGTGGGTGATTGGAGCTAGATAAGATAGAGCTAGCTGGATCGGTCGGTTAACCTAGCTTATAACCTCCTCAACCGCCAGATCCTAGGTTAAACTTTTTAAGGTGGATCTAGCTTAACCGGGTCGAAAACCGTGTTATCTAGCTTCAACCACCCGATTCTAGCTCCATCTTTTTTTTGCTTGGGTATCTAGTTGCCACTTTAGGTTAGTTTGTAGCTTTATTACAATAACTTTTCGAAAAAGAGCAAAAAATGGCGGCCGTTAGCTGGACAAGCCGCGGGCTCCTAGAGCTAATTTGTGAGAACCACGTGGCAGCTACTAGCTAGTGGTCTTATACTTGCTTAGTTTCGTAGAACTCAGTGTGGGCTATCTTCGAAATTTTATTCTGGTTTCAGTACTTAGCGATTCCTTCTTTTTTCACTTGTCAAGTATACTACCTAGTTATCCGAACTTTTCAATTCTACATATTCGGGCTGATAGTCTATGGTTTTTACTACAGGACGGTGAAACCGCATGTTTCTACTATTTGCCATCCTCGATTTATTCAAAAAACATTCATGGCTACTCAGTTGTAAAATAAATTAACTATTATTGTCATTCATCGAAAGAATAAAAGAGAAAAACTACGAAGGAAAACCGCGCACAATTACAAATAAAAAATTTAAGTTCAAATGAATTATTTTCACATTATTATAGTCTATACTTATTCTTCTTTATCTTTTGCAAGAGCTGTTGCTAAATATCATCGTGAAAACTCTGCTGGATGTAAACAAGAAAAACCAAAACAAGATACTTTGAAATATCATTGTTCGGGCTCATCTACTTCAATTAGTATGACTCAAGCTTTAGAAAATCAACGATATATTCAAATACTTATCATCGAGAATACTAGTGATGATCAGACTACGGTGTATCTCGACAGTTTTATAGAGCAAATGCCATCATTCACAACATTTGCATGCGTGAGCTGTCACATAGATGTTGCTGCTTCATATGGTGATGTGAGCAATAGACATGCTTATCAATGGGTGATAATTCATTTTAGAAAAACAACAGTTACACCAGAAGCACTTAAAAAATTTTATCAATACATAAGGGTAATGAGGGAAATTCATGGCTTTTCTATAAATTTCTAATGGTTAAAACAATTTTAGGTAATAGATAATGGGGGATATGAAGAAAATTTGTTGAATGAATTAGTAATTATTGATTCAGACGTATTTCGTGATGCACGATTTTTGTTGAGATATACACAAAAAAATACATTTGATACATATGGTCAAGAAGCTACGAGACTTCATTTAGATTTTGATTATGAGAGTCAGCAATTTCACATCGATTCATGTTTATTTCATTATATCTATAATATGTTAGATAATCCAACATTAACTAACGCTAATATCACTTCAGAAGTACAATTACCATGTAATTATTGTGAATTAAAACAAATAGCAAAACAATGCTATCATTCAACTACACAAACTTGTTCTGTTATGTGTTATGATTCAATAACAAATACTCATAAAAAAATTAATCAGAACATTATCGATTCTCTATCACTCCATACCTGTATTAGTAAGTACTTTATTCTTTCTCATGAAGTTAGTAAAATAAGAACAAATTATCTATAACAGTTTTCAAATCGTAATCGTAGTCGAACAAAAAAGTCAGACTGTTTCCGCTAAAGCTCCCCTACCTATATCAGAAATGATGATTTTAATCAAAAATTTCCATTGTGAGATGTCCTCCGTCGAAATGCACTAAATTTTAAGCCCTCGATGAAAGAATTTGAAGGTCATTTAGCAGGATCGCGAGATCCCTGTGAGTAAAAGCCAAATTTTCATTTGTTTAATGCTAATGTCGCATCTCTATAGGTTTGCGACCATGCAATGCCTGATGGACATGTGTGCGCATATATCTGCCAACTTTTTCATGAGCAGAAATCTCTACAATATATGAAAAAATATCTCTTGCCTCAGATATTGCAAGAATGATTCACTTTCTAAAAGAAAAAGTTTCTCAAAATCATTTTTTCTTCTAATTACAGGAATTCTTCATTACACGAATGCCGGTACGCTCACGTTAGAAAAGTTTAATTTCTTAAAATTGTCGCTAAAACATATGTCCAGAGTCTAAAAGAGTTCGATTTTTTGCTTTTGGTCTAGCTTTTTATACAGCGAAATATCTTTGTGAGACTAAAATAACTGTTTTGCAGTTTTCGTCCTCTTCCCTCGCCCGGAACTAAAGCAAAATATTAATTTGATTTTTTATCGCAAACTACAATTTGATAAGATCAACGTTTCGTGAAAATTTCGTCTAGACCAGATATAAGCTGGTGACAAAGTTTTTCAACATGACGAGTGGGAGTCTTGATAAAAGTAACAATCCCTAACGGTATTATTCATCTTTTTCTGCCAAAACATTTTTCCTCTGATGAATATAAAATAACTCACGTTTGAATAATTTCTAGTTCGATTAGAATCGTTTTAAATATGTGAGTATCATAGCATAATATACTATTCTTACATCTTCATATACTTTGCACATATAAAAGTTTATTTCACTGACAAAATATTTAATATTTCTATTTAGCTGTCTTTAGAAATCATAACTCTTAAAACACTAAGTAAATTGCACTGTTTTTGTTCCAGAACGGAATGCTAAATGTTTTGAACAAAACGGTTTACCATTAATCTCGACTTCACCAGTTCCAATACGTAAGATGTCCGATATTGATAAAAGAAATTTATTACATATAAATGCTCGATCGGTCTATTTAGATCAACATCCCTGTTCTCCCGCAACACTGCCACCGATTTGTCGAAATGGTGGTGTATGTTATCCACAAGAGAATCTATTGTATAGGTGTGATTGTGAAAAAACGGCATTCGATGGGAAAAACTGCGGTTAGAATCACCGTTAAAAAGTCATTGATCGACGTTTGTTAAATTTACATTTTAGATGACGGATGCGGAGGTACAAATCAGTCCTGTCAGAATGATGCTAAATGTATTGATGGCAAATGTCAGTGTTTCCCATCCTACACAGGGTACCATTGTGAAAATCTAATAAGTACGTGATGAGAAGTTTTGAATTTTATAATAAATATGTTTTTCTTACAGCCACAGACTTCAATTTAACCATAATAACTGGAGCAAAAACGGAAAAAGATAAAACACAACTTTTACTTCTAATAATTGTCGGAGTGTCAACTTCATTATTTGGATTATTAGGTAGTATTTTTTATTATCTATGGAAAGCGGGAAAATTTACTAAGAGTGAACCCAAACAATTAGATATTCGTATCTCAGATACAACGTGGTCAAGTTCAAAAGATCATAGTACAGAGGATAATGATAAACGTTCACCAGATATTCCAGAATCACCCGAAATATCGAACATGCCTAAAAAGTTACCTAGAGAACTATCATCTTCAAGAATTGTAAGAACAGCGCAACATTTTGATGAATTTGATTGAATTGGTTGAAAATAAATAAAGTGATGTAATTCTGCTACCCGCAGTATAATTTCGTCAAGACTTTTTTCCATTTTGTTTCTCCTATAATTCTCGAATGGAGACGCATTCAGAACTCTGCAACAAAAGGATTTACGAATAGCATTCTGATAGGTTTCGCCAGGTGTTGATCACTGAAGTGACAGATCGGGCTGATATTTTTATCTGATTTCTACAGGTTTAACAAGTCTAAACTAGTTAGTTTATCCTTAAAAGGAAAATAATTCAAAGCACTTAGTGCAAAAGTTATAGAGATCATAAGTGAGATCGCTAAAAGTCGAAAACTAAGTAAAATCTAGCTTTTTTAAAAAATTCATTTTCTCTTGAATGAAGAAATGTTAAGAATCGAAATTTAATTTTAATTATATATTCTTGGGAAGGTAGTTAATATATTATTACAATATTTCGGATAGAAAAATTTCCTTAGAGAGCACGTCTAGGACATATTTTCTTTCTGTTTTCTACTTGCTGTCTTTCGGTTGCAGTAGTTTCTACGTGTTCTTCCTTTATTGTGAAAAAATATTCTGATCAGCTGATCTATTTTTCGACAGTTTCGACGACTAACAGGCAACAGTTCTACCACTGAATACTTGTCTTTATTCCATATGAACTGTTCTGGTAGCCATCACCGCCTTTTAAACGTCAGTCACTCTTGAAAAGGACCTTGCCAACTTCTTGAAGACATCTTATTTTATTCAGACTTGTTTATTCGATCTTCTTGCGTAGTTTATAATATTTTACTTACACTTAGTTTTCTAGTACTAGTAATTCGGAAACATTGGGAATCTTTTAATTTTATGTCCTTTTTATATACTCTTCTACCGACGAAAGGAAAACGTTGAACAACTTTGAAACAGTATACTGAGCGGTTTTAGAAATTACCGGGGTAACTGATGGCATTTTAGTTCAGCTGCGGTATTCAAATAAACATATTCGACATAGGATTGGCTGGATGTAATATAACATAATACTTTCCAAAGTAATTCTTCTGCAATTTTTATATACGCATATAAAAAGAAAGGTATAGTTCGGGTTTCTCAATGGGAAACATATTCTTTCCTATCCGAACGCATATGAGTCAGTGTGGTAGAAAAGAAAAAAAGAAAGTAGTTTTCATTTTTTTTGTACAGTACTTTGACGTTGAAAATGACCGATTAAGTTTGAAATATCCAGATAAAGGATATGGTGAAATTCCAAACGCTGGATTATTTTTCATATTTTTGAGTACATTCTGAACAGCATGACAGAAATCATTATAAACAAACTCTCATTTTCGCTCCGCTCTTGATTATATTTTCATCGCTCGTACTTATAAACTATTGAGTTCTCTTATCTTATTGAAAAAGAGAAAATTACATCAATTTATAAGAAAATTTCGACTAACAAAATCGCTCCTAGACATTATTCTTGGGCACTTTTTGACCGATAATAGCCGATTACCATAACAAAAACTTTCGCTTACTAATGCAGCAGAGCTGATATATCAGAGGACACCCGATAGTGAACCACTCCGAATCTGATATTTTTATTGGATAAAAAGTCAGTTCTGGTGGAGGGAATAGAGAATTACGGGGAGAATTCCGATTTTTCGCTCCTAATTCAGAAAAAATGTACTTTCTCAGTAACGAAACAGGTTTTTAAAAAAAGCGATGCATATTTCAAAGTTCGTTTAATGGCGATTCTAATGAAATAAAAAAGTCGGCTTCATCTCTTCACAAAAAAAAACCACGTAGGTTTGCAAAATTGTTTCGGTACTTTTTACAGAAAGTCCAACACGTCCGTACTGGATAGACCTTTGACTTCAGCTTGATCAAGCATCATTACCATACTCGGTCTTTAATGCTGAATCGGAAAATATTAGTTTCGAAAAGTTAGAAGAACGAAAAACAAAAATTTGAATTTTCAAAGGGTTTTTCTAACTTTGAGATCCTTCTAGTATTTTGAAGATTTTTCATTAAAAATCAATTTTATAAAGCTAAAATGTGGATATTCTTGCGCAGCTCGTCGAGCTCTATCGAATGATGTATAATTAAGACAAAAAATAAAATGGTGTGGAAAGTTTGAATTTGGTGCGCCTTACAATATGTACATATTTCCCTATACACATGTTCATTAAACATGGATCAAAGATTAGGCCTTAGTATTTTACTCGATGCAGAGTCAGTATTCACATTCACACACACGTTTATGTTTATGGATGCCTGACACTGTGAAATTTTATCGGGTAGTTAAACGTCTTCTATTAGCGAGCTAAATGTTCCTAATGTTTTCACGGCTTTCGAGCGCAAAATTTCATTTGACATCACTCACAGTCTCATCATTTGAATAATGAATGCCCATTTCGAAATCAACTAACCAAACAGAACGTACAAGGTAGAGTAAGATTGAATGAACTATATATCTGTACGTATATTTTGACTACGTAGTCTGTTTGCATTTCTCATAATTGATGGCTGACTATTTTGAATACAATCATAAATCTCAATAAAATTTAATGGAAAGGAGGCAAGAAATATTCTATTCGTTCAGAAATAATTCTATAGGCAGCAACCATAAAAACATAAAGCTCGCAAAATCTTTGAGTGAGAGAAATGGGCACCAGTCACCACATAACTTCAGTTAATTTTGAAAACATGATGTACAAAACACAAAACCGGCCTCATTTATTCGTGTTTCCAATAAACAAGTCTTCGCGGTAATGTCGTTTTTTTGTATTCATGGTAACGTGGTATAGACAACTTAATTCTCTACAGGATTATATATTGATTTTTATGATATGTTTGACACAGTAAGTCTAACTGGAAAAGCTCCAAACTTTCTAAATTCTTCTTGCAAAAAGCCGATTTTTTGCTCAAAACCTCGCTGAAAATCACTTATTCAGCAACACAAAGTATACCGAAAATTCAGCAAGAAATTTTCTACAATATGATGTTTATTTTTAATGACAACAGTGATCTTTTAGATGAAATCAGAGCGAAAAAGAGTCTTTAAGAAAGGTCACTTTCTCCAAGTACAGTTCTGAAATTAATGAAGATAGTTTATCATGGCACGGCGAAGGATCGACGCTATTAACGCATCAAAATGTATCAGCGCAAATTATGTCAAGATCACGTATTATAGGACAACCAATGCTGTACGAGCAATTACATACCCCGCTTCAGATATCGTCTATTGTAGATAGTATGTCATTCCCCTCTTCAATACATTACATGTTTATAAACAATGTTCTTTTGTTCGTATTAGATCGAGTTAGCGAGAGATTTTTCAAACAACCACCTGGAGCGTACGGTACTCAACCAGCTTCTGTATTAACAGAAAATGATGCAGCATCAAAGCGGGATGTTTCTGTCAAGAAACTCGAGAAAAAAATAAGCGAAACAAATACAAAATTATTTTTTAGGATTCTTGAAAGAAAACAGCTGAAATCTGATTCCTGGAAGAACCATTACCGGAAATTTAACTTGTGACATGTATGATTGAAAGGAAAATATGAATATACGTAATCCTCTCCGACTACATGTACAGAAAATAATGAAAAATAACCACTGCGGGATGTGGTAATTCACATTAGCAAAGCACGTGATCTGCTTCATGCTGATGTCATTTATGAGTAGTCTCAGATATGAACGAACACAACTAGTGGGAGATGTGATCTCTCACAAATCTTGTCCAAGTTTCCCAGAGATCTTAAGTTTTGCGTATTTTCAAAAGCGAAACTCAAGAATCCAAAACAACAAAATTTTCCTCTTGACAAAATCCTGGATTCTCTAGCGCTTAATTGCTAAACATTTTGGGCAACTTAGAACGAGAAAGGAAAAATCGATTTCGAGATATGGCGGCTTTAGCGGATGGTGAAGTGATATTCAGCGTAGCTTACACTGTATGCAATCATTCAACTTTGATCCTGTAATATTGTATTCGAACATTTTTCTCTCCTACATTTGCTGGTTTATAGCTATAAATCTTCTTCTGCCAATAATGTTTATATAATCTTTGGAAATCATACGTTTTTTTTGTCGTCATTTCTGTATATGTATGTTCAAGAAACTCTGGTGTTAATTGTGTTGATGAATAATTTCTAACAATGAGTACTGGTAATTTGTCAAATATGGAATCTATTGTTGTGGATTGAACAATGGGTATTGAATTGAGATAAAGAGTTTCCCATGTACGATAACAATCAAGACCAACACCTAGGGAGAACATGCATCATTAATAAAAGCCATTCTAGCTAATCGTCTTACCTGGTGGTGATAGGACAAATTTACTTCGACCTATCTCTTGATAATAGGTTATCAATGGCATGTCACGCTTATAAAAGCACTTCGTCATATTCCTTAATGGACTACTATCCTTACACACTAGATTCCACAGAGGTTGTCGTATTCGTTCATTTGATGGTGGATTAAATGATGCAAGCAATAAATACTCATTTATTTTTGAATACCTGGTTGTTGATGCTAATTCCATGTAGTATCGTTGCTTTTCCCATTGACTAATTCCGTTTGGAATACACGTGAAATGTTGCTGAGAAAAATCTTTATGAAGGTCACAATTCATTGCAAACCAATGTAGAATATGTGTTTTACCGTTCAGAACTCGTTCTAAAATAGACAATGAAGAGATTTCTTACCACTAGTCAAATGGAAAAGCAGTTCTACCAATTAGGAGACTAATATTTTTGTTGTCGTTTATTAGTTTTGAAGGTATCGATGTATCAGAATCACCCGTCATCAGAATATAATCAACTTTAATTCTTGGATGATAATTTTCGAAAAACAGTCGAAGATTCGTTGAGTCGACAAATAAAATTGTGCCTGACTGAAGACATGGTAAGAAGTCGTCGATTAACTTAGGTAAAGAAAACTCGCTCGGTACTGGTAATGTGCCGTAATGTAAATCAGCTATCAGTTTCATATCGATTGGACTCAAACGATTAAAAGTTTTAGAATTGTTATGTGTGAAGTATTTTGCTGTTGATACTGTCCAGCAACAATGTTCAACACATCCAGATTCAAGTTGTTTACCGTCATGATTAAACAGCCAAAGTTCACGTTGTTCATCTAGTCGGAGTCTGTCAATCTGTTTGATGAAGTTTGACGACGAGACGACTGTTGTGATATGCTTGATACCGCTGGTTGATACAGATGGATGGGAAAGAGTTTTTGTATCATCTTGCTTTTGTTGCCGTTTTCTGCAGGTAATAATAAATATTAAGCCTAATATAACAAGAGTGCAGAATGAAGAGCACTTATATCTTAGAAGGATGGACATAGTAATAGTCATAATTTATGTAAAGAGAATTATCAAAGGACAAGATTTCTTATTTCTCTACATATTCATACACGGTAAGGGAAAATGATTGGTAACGAAGTAAAATTATGCAAGTAAAATGAAAGATAACATAAAGAATTTTTGAAACAGAAAACTATGCAAAAAGAACAGAAACTACATATGAAGAGCTCGAATCTTAAGCAAAGGAGAAGAAAGAAAGAAGAAACACGTTTTCACATGAAAAAATTAAATTTACATAGAATATCGTGTGATACACACTTAATTACAAAATACACATATTATTCAATGTTACTGCGAGTATTATACAAATAGAGTCGGCAAGCACAGCATCTAACATTTTTATTGTTAGATGCTTCCTAGGTTGTTCTTTCGCCTTTCTAATATAAGCCAACTTATAATTAAATGAACAATTATTCTATATGCAAAAGAATATTTATTTTTGTCATACATATAAGAGGGTTCTACTCTGACCAATATGCTATACAAAGATTTTTATTATTTCTAAAACTTTTGTTTTATCAGATGATCGAACAGGACGTCAAAGTTTTATGTTCATTCAAACCTCTTTTGTTAATGTTAGTTGGTGTGTAAATATATATTGCAATAGAAATACAGCCGTTTACATGTTCATTCACTGCCAGACATTCAAGTGCTACTCTTGAAGATACAAATAGATCACTATCAGAGACACATCGGACAGGGAGTTCATCATTATCATTTACTTTATCACGCAACGCTGTCGTGCGTGTAGCAGTCAAAGTACCATTGATTAGTATATATCATTTTGTCAGATCTGTTCGAGCTAGTTGTAATATTTGTACAGTGATTTTATTTGCCTCTGACGCATCAAAACAGAGCGATAGTTTTAAACAGTTAGCTACTTTATATACCGTTACTTTTGTTGCTTGTGAAAATGATATTTTCAAAGAAATATTAACAAAATGGTCTAACAGACACATTGTTCAATCACGATGGTTGCTCTTCCATCGTTATTTAATCGAATCGGTTAATTAGTTGTGCTGGCACAGTGCTAGGCTCATAGGAAGCTATTGTGTCTTATTTATCAATTATGAAACTAGAATTAACTAGTCGATCAAAATCTTGTGTTGATCAAGCAATTCCTAACTACATAGTTTATAATAATCTTATTTCCCAATACAACTGTTCATTTGATAAGTCATGAAGATGGATTTGCTAGTTCATTATTTCTAGCTCGAAAAATAACGAAGATATCTTGAAAGTACGAAATACTGGGTTCACAAAAAGAGATTTGCAGAAAAACGTGAAACAAGTTTACGAAATGAAAAACGAGTTTTATCAATTATTTCTTTATGCTAAAAGAAATATAGTAATAGTTCATCATAGGTTCTTGAGTATGCCGAATCCAATGAGCACTTTCATAGAGAACTGGAACTGTAGGCTTTCAGAAAACCATCAAAAACTATTTTTCAAGACGTAAAAATTAGTGCGCTGGAAAGAGGACACTTTGGACTATTCAATCATATACATATCTCAAAATTGTTTTTTTGACGAAAATCAACTTTTCGGGAGGGGATCCTTAAAACGATTAGTCACTTGGGACAGTTCCCTCGCTAGTAAGATTTTACTTAACAGATCTTACTAAGATCGCGAGAAGAAAAAAATTTGAAGATTTGATAAGATTTTGCTGAGACCTTAAAAAAATTTACTTCAATAAATATATAAAATAATTACTTTATCAATTTATTGTCTAAGATTTCTGTAGGATTGGGTAAGAATCTGTTATATTCTTCATAATAAGATCGATGGCGTTTTTTATAACATTTATTTACAACTCACTAAGAATTTTTGAATAGTACTTGAATAGATTTGAAGAATGAAGACAAATTTCATATTTTCGGGTGTACGACATAGACCCTGACTTGCATTGTATCCTCTCTCAAAAGCTGTTGAACACTTTCGAGAAAGCGAGCAACAGCAGAGTCTGGAAGAAAAAAACCACTGTAAAATTCAGTTATTTTTTGTGTTACTTATATACTTGCATGAGCGCGAAATATAAGGGTAGTAGAACATCAAATCTTATTAACATCTTAAACGATAAGATTTTCGATTATCTTATCCAGATAAAAACTAAGATCTTATTAGATATGAGTAAGATAATTTTAAGACGTGTCTAAGATTCTTATCAGGGACAAACTTCGTAGAACTATTACGATCCTTTTTGAGCCTGATGGGTGAATACAGACAACTCGTAGGTTTCCTGAGCAAAGTCCTGCGGAATTCCACTCTGAAAGAAAAAGGCGTCTTTCACCGCATTTTAAACACATGTTTAAAATGAGATGAGAGGTACCTTTTCCTGTTACGCGCCGGTAAACAGAATTAAAATGATTTTATTTACGTCAGATCGGAATAATTAAAAGAAAAGTTTGTTTTTATTAAGTTGAGATAATTCTAGACGGCATTTTTAATTTTCACAGTATTTCGAACATGCTTGAAGTATTTTCAGTCGAGAAAAAAAACCATCTGACATGTGAATACACTGTAAAGTCGGGAATTATTTATAGAAAATCGATCGATTTTCTAAAAATTAGAAATCCCTTGTCGATTTTCTGACTAGTGAGAAAAGTCAATTTATAGAAAATCGAGTGGATTTTCTATAAAGTAGAAAATCAACATTTTCTAAACAGTCAGAAAATCGCTGAGGATTTTATAAAAGTTGGAAAATCCTTGGCGATTTTCTATAAAGTAGAAAATAATTCCAAATTACAGTGTAGATCGGACATTTCTGCATCTACTGATGAAAATATCTTGTTGAAGTTCAATAAGATTAATTAGTACTCATCAAACTTCAGAGAGCTCGCATCAAATGTCCAGAATTAATCCAGAATTATCCTTAATTATAGACAGTAAGTGTGTTTCATTGGGTTAATTCTGGACAGTCTAGTGGTAGAAAGTAAAACACCTTTTTCTCAACTGCAAAGTTTTACCTTTCTAACCAAAAATTATACCATCTTGCAGAGAATTTTGAGCTCTATCTACCTTGTAAATTGGCAATTAACTGACGACTTTTCATAAACATGGTACATTTCGCTTCATACTACATCAAATGCGTTTTTTGAAATGACTCATCTAACATGAACTATTCGGCATTGACTAATCAATAGTCACGATTAAATCTCAATACAGTTAATGTGTACATTAGTGTAAAATTTCTTTTGATACTATTTTTGAGTTGATATTTTAACGAAAATCTGCTACTATTGGATCACATTGGGTGAAACAAGTGAAATTATTCACTTGGTTTTGCTCCCGTGTTCTTTCTTTCCCACTAATATAAAACTTAACCTGCGAATTTATGATAAAGTTAACGACTCTACAGTAAATAAGAAACCATTCATTTGAGATATCAAATATTTGTTCCTTTTCTTTAAACTTAAACATCTAATCTCAAGTTTTTATGAGTCTGTGAACTAAAGGAACAAATATTTGATATCTCAAGTGAATGGTTTTTTATTACTGTAGAGTCGTTAACTTTATCATAAATTCACAGGTTAAGCTTTATGGGAGCAGAACAGAGTGAATAATTTCATTTGTTTCACGCAAAGTGATCCAATAGTGGCAAATTTTCGTTAAAATATCAGCTCAGAAATAGTATCAAAAGAAATTTTACACTAATGTACACATTAACTGTATTGAGATATAATCGTGACTATTGACCAGTCAATGCTGAGTAGCTGATGTCAGAGGGGTCATTTTCCAAAAAGTATTTGATGTAGCATGAAGCGAAATGTACCGTGTTTATGACAAGCTAAACTTTTTCGTCAGTTAATTGGCAGTTAAGATTCTAATTTAATTTTTCTTTTAGTTTTAATCGACAAAAATATGTTCGAAAACAACAATATTCATATTCTTTACAGGAAACGGCGAAACTACTATGTCCAACGCCGACTTCAATGATCTTTTGCCTATAGATACTATATAGTGCCCTACTATCCATGAAAATTTCTTGAACACGACAATATTCGGCGGTTTTTTCGGTGTCGGTTTAAACCGAATATTGGTTTTTCGGTTTGAAAACCGAAACCGGTACATACCTATACTATACAGCAAAAACAACCTAACACATCTAACTGACTGCTTATTCACACCAAAAGGAACTGTGCGCCTGTTTTCAATGACCTTCTAGAACTATCGATCGGGCCTTCCTCATATCAACAATGTGTAGAAATCTTCAGCTTACGTTCTTAAGACTTGGAAAAAATATTTTATTCTAAGAAAATCCAAATAGTACGACGATTGTCTTTGAAGAAGTACAAACAATTAAAAAAGAAAATGAAGCGTGATATAGATCAGCTGTATATAACAAACTAGTATAAAATGAAAGATTTTGTAGTAACAGCGGGATAGAGCAATAGCGTACGAAATATATTCTGGAACGTTCCTCCAGCTTCTTCTAAAAATTTTATCGGTCCTTTTGTCTTAAACAATACACTTTTTATCCATATTTACTTCCACGGCGACCCTATAATAACATTTCCTGCGGGCTACTATTTCTTTTCTTCAGAAGAAAATCCTACAGACCTTGTAGGGTCAGCGTACTAAGATATCTTGCGTGCTACAACTAATAACAGGAAGGAAAAAATTCCACAGGGTTAACAGAATAAAATATCCTGCAAGATATATTTGAGAAGGCGGAGGAAAATTTCGGTGGACCTCATGTTGCCAAAATCTACAGGATATAACTGACATTCACAGGCTTTTTGCAAACTCCTCCGTTGGCACGCAGGATTTCAAATTTTGTTTTTCAGTGGGTATCCACTGGAAAAAATTATTAAAATTCATGCAGGATTCCGCAGGATATTGCGCAAGAGTCCTGCGGGTTGTGTGTTAAAATATCCGGCGATGTTTCTTACCTTTATGAGAGCTGTCCAAGCCTGAAAGTTATTCCGCGAGTTAAATCATCTTATGCGGCGTCTCATCCTCACGATGCGAAAACGCCATTTCGCTACGGTGCTTGTAATGCAGTTTCATATCCTGATCTTCTGCTTTCTATCAGCTAGCTATTCACCCATTCGTCTCCATATCCTTTG